CCAAATAAACATAACATATCAAAATTTTTCATACATTAAAGTGAGTAAGATAAGCTATTAATTGGTAATTTCTGAAAACGATACGCATAATTAATTAATTAAACGAATTATTAATAATAAAAAAAAATATGTAATTAAGTTGTTATCCATTGATAGTGCAAACAATGATTATAATCCATTCTTCGTCGTTTCTCTCCCTCTCTCTCTTTCATTATCTGATATAGTGTATTATCATTTCCAACATAATGTATTTCATTTCTGATACAATGCATTATATTTCATATATTAATATAAGTTTTTAAAAATAGAAAAATTATATCAATGATATTCTGAATTTTTAAACGGTTAAATGCATCAAATCAATTCAGTTTTTTTTTCTTTTTTCTTTTGGAAAGAAAAATTGAAAATTCAAAATTGTCCTTTCTTCATGCATTTCGTTTTTTCTTTACTAGAATACATTAACTAAATGATGTTGAATCTATTTTCTTGTCACCAATATATGACTCTTTTTTTTGTTATTGTTGTTGAAAAAAAAAGCGGATCAAGATAAAATTTTGCGATTATTTTAAAATTCAATTATAATGGATTTCACAAAAAAAAGGAAAAAGGAAATATTAAATGATGTTGTTGAAATGAATCGCTCGTTGCTATGAGCTTATGACTTATTTTAAATTACTTTCAATTCTCTTACCAGTCAAATGGCTACTTGTTTTTTTTTTTTTTAATTCATAGAACATGTAAAACATTTGAAAATTTTCAATGTAAGTGCTAATTAAATTACGGTAGCAAATGAGAGCAATAAAAATTGTGCAAGAAAAAAAAATTTGGCGAAAATCGTAAAAGTAAAAAAAATAGTGCAAAAATCATAAAAATGAATGGAATAGATGAAAGAAGAAAAGATTAATTTGTAATTTGTTTTAAAATTTTCCCTTCATTGTTTTTTAGTATTTAATTTTGAATATATTAAAAAAACTTCAATTCATAATTTTCCAAATTTTGCATTAATAATTTTTGACATATAATATTGTTCAGTTAATAAAAATTTGCTTGAAATTACCGGAAACATTTTTGTAATAATTTTATTTTTAAAAAAAAAAGAAAATGTAAAGGTTAGATCGGAATTTTTATTTTAGGTAACATCACAAAAACTTTTGGTCTGTTGATTTATTGAGCAGAAAATTGATTCAGATTTTGAAAATTTTTGGAAAAATTTTTTTTAGATTTATCTTTCTAAAAAAATTTCACATTAAAAGTATTTTTTTTAAGCAAATGTTCTATATAAATTCTTCAAGTACTTCGGAATTTTTTTTTAAACCTTGCAAAATTGAAAATGACTATTTAAGTTAGCTTAATAAATTAGTAATTAATATCGCCAATGAGATCGTCAATTAATAAATATTAAGCTCAAATCTATCGTTTAGAAGAAGGATTGAAATTTATTTGCAGCATTTGCAAAAATTTTGCCATTTAATTTTCAATGAAATGAACGAATCTCAAAAATCTATTACTGAGTTAAAAATTATTTAAAATATATTCAATATGAGTAATTCATAATTCAGGTAAAAGATAATGAATGACTTTCTCATTGAATATTTTTGTTTTATTCATGAAGAAAGACAAAAGCGCCACTGTATCATTATTATTTTTATACCATATCTTTCACGAGAATCAATCCTGTTCCCGTTGTTAAGCGTTTTCACAATCCAGTTTTAATTAACTAACACTCTTTGAATCTATTATTTTAATTTCCGGTTTCTCATCTTCATCATCATCATCATCACCACCATCGTCTTTCCTGTTCTCGAATCAAACTATTGGTGGTTTCGATCAAGAATATCGATATGGAAAGCTTTCATTATTGCAACAATTGGTTCGCAGAAAAGTGTTGGGAATAATGAGATTGGTCTTATTATTTGTTAGCTTCTTACAACAAACTTACGGATCAAACAAACAGTACTGGCGCACATGGCGAGATGAACATCCACAGTATCGACAATTATTTTCTGGTATGTTAAGTTTGTAATTTTTAAAATTGTTGGCGAACTTTAATCTTTTAATTTATGCAATAAATGGAAAAATTTTTTACGGAATGAAATTAAATGGACCAAAAATTATCGAAATATATACTTCAATGATTAATTTAAAATGAAATGATTGCTGAAATACACTTTCGTATTTTCAATAAGTTCTGATGCTTTATTTATTTACAATACCTTTTTTTTTGGTTACCACTTGTGTCTGATTAACAATGAAATCTTTAGAATATTACGCTTAGCTTACGAACTCTAACGCTAAGCTTGAAATCTTTGGATTACTGTGCTTGGTTAACAGTTAAAGCGTTAGGCTTAAAATCTTTAGATTACTGTGCTTGGCTAGCAGTTCACACCTAAAAGATGGAACTTATTCATTATTATGCTTAATTAACGGTTCATTCTTAAACGATGAAACTTTTAAACGAATGCGCTTGGCTAATTGTTTAGACTTAAAAGATAAGACTTTTACAGCGTGAACTTGGCTAACGGTTTAAGTTAAAACACGGAATTTTCAGGGAGTGAGCTTGATTAAATTTAAACGATGCTAAAATAATGATTTAAAAAAAAAGAAGAGTCAAAAAACATAAAAAAATTTTAAACGGTGAAACTTTCAGATAAGTGCGTTAGCTAACGATTTAAACTTAAACGCTGAACTTATAGTAGTCAGTTTAATAAATTATAAACTAATGATTGAAACATAAATGATTATTTATGCATAAAATGTATTTCGCTGAAACAAACAAACATCTCATTTTATGTCTTTTTTTTCTTTTCATGAATAAATTGAATAAATAAATTATATATGCCCGTAAATAGTAACTTCTTAGGAAGAATTGATTATCAAAGTAGCTTATCAAAGTAACTTCTCAAGAACTAAGAATTGATTATCGAAGTAGCATATCAAAGTAACTTCCCAAGAACTAAGAGTTGATTATCAAAGCAGTTTATCAAAGTAACTTCCCAGGAACTAAGAGTTGATTATCAAAGTAGCTTATTAAAGTAGCTATTAAAGGAACTTCTCAAGAATTAAGGACTGATTGTGTTAGCAAAGTAATTTATCAAGAATTAAAAGCAGTTTGTGTTATCAAAGTAACTTCTTCAGAATTAAAGACTGGTTATATTGTTAAAGTAAATCCTAAAAACTGAGAACTGATTACATCATCAAAATAACTTATCAAGAACTAGAGATTGATTGTTATCAAAATAATCTTTCAAGAACCAAGAACTGATTATGTTTTCGGAATATTTTGGACAAGTAAAAATACTTCTTGTGAGAAAAGATGGTGAATTGACTTTTCCTGTGATAACTTTTTCTTTTCATTTTAACAAGTTGTCCATTTTTGATGTTGGAAAAAAAATTGATTTCATCAAATTTAAACTGATTAGAAGCGAGTAATACTTGAATTCTGCATTAAAACTGAGTCAGATCGAATTGATTGCAAGTTGATTCAGATTTGAGCAATTTTTGAACTAAAATTCATTCATTAAAAAATTTTAGAGAATTACTTTTGCTTTATAGAATTACTCTTCATTTTATAGAATTACTTTCTACTCTATAGAATTACTCATTACTTTATAGAATTACTTTTTACTTTATAGAATTACTCCCCGCTTATGGAATTACCTTTCACTTTATAGAATACTTTTATTTTATACCTTTACTTTATAGAATACTTTTCAAATTTGCTTCAGAGAAAATTGTATCTAATATGAAAAGTTTTTGACATAGGGTCAAAAACTTAGACTTTTAAAAGTTTAAATTATTACTAATAATGAAATGGAAAAAGTTATTTATTTTTTTTTTGCTCCCTTGATAATGTATATTATCAAAAAAGCTTAGGTTAACAGATGGATTAAAGTTAATGTTTCATTCGTTTTGCATACACCATTTTAATATCAAATTCTTCTTCGACGCACGTCTGTTATCAAATAAATGATTTCAAGTTGATAAGAAATATGCTTGTTATCAGTTATCTCATCTAATTGAGGTATATAAAAGAATACCTTAAAGGTTAATTTCTATTTGCGTGATTTAATCATTCTATTGCATACTTTTTCATTAACCTAAATTATCCTTTACATTTTTTGGGAAAAATATTACGATAGTAAATTGATATTATTACTGCAATGAGAAATGATAAAGTAATGGAATGAAATATGAATGATAAGTGGAGGTGTGATATGATATCAGATATTTCTTCATCCTTATCAATTCAATGTTTGCAACAACAGCAATAACAATAACAACCATAACAAACAGATCTATTCCACTGATAACATTTATTATATTTATCATTTGTTATGAAAGTTCCATGTTTAATCTATGTGGTAATAAGGATGAAAACGGAAAAGTGGGAGGCGTCAATGTCTATTTGGTTTAGGTTCAGTGAGACAGAACATAGCTTATTTGTACTCTGATTCCATTTGCTTGCTCTATTAAGTCTAAGCTTAAAGCCAAATTCAACCATACATCACATCTCTTGCCACTACCGCCATCATCACTTTCTTTATATATTGCTGCAGAAAGGTTACATTGCCTATTTCCTGATGTTAACAAAGATTTGAGCTGAAAATTAGTTCTGCTCATTCAGGAAAATTAATGAATCCTAAAAGGCTGATAAGATCATTACACTGATAAGATCATATCAAAAAGCTCTGGATAAACATTTCATAATATTACTATCCATCTGTATTAACGTACTGATAAATCTAATCTGGCTATTTATCACTAATAAATTTGATTAATATTGATGTTCAGAAAGTGATTATTTTTTGGTAATTGGTGCAATCATCATAACTCATCTATCTAATTACATTTACTGTAATTAAAAGTGATAACAATGATTTATTATCAATTGGAATAATATTGCTGTTAAACGGATGTATGCATAATCTTTCCAAATGACAGTATCATCGAAATGTTATTACAATTACTTGTGATACTATCATTATTGTTAATATTAAAATTAATGCAACATGACTACACAGCTTACAAAATTATTTTCATTCATTTTGGCTAATGTTCATGATCCAGCAAATTTTGGTGACACTGGTCTGTCCTTTTTTTCTTCTTTTTTTTTATTTATTGATATGATCAAAAATTTTTTTGCTGAAAATTCTTTTTATAAGTAAATCTTTTTTAAACTCGGAAATGCAAAAGTATAATTTCGAGTGGTATTGTTAGTTTGTAATTAACAATTCATGCAAAATGATTATAGTTTTAAAAATCAGATTTAACGCATATGCATCGAAATTTGTTGAGGTTTTACTTTGATCGATTGAAGAAAGATTTTTTAATTTTTATTAATTTATTCAAAATTTAACAATTAATTCAATTTCATTTATTCGTACTTAACGAATATAATTTTTATTTCAAATGTTTTAGTTTTATTTAACAAAATATTTTTCTCTTCTCTTTTTTCCCTAAAAAATAAATTAAATTATCTTTTTAGCGCAATTTGATTTCATAGCTATTGCATATTCTGATAAATTAACCTTATTTTCTTCCTTTTTTTCTGTTAAATTAACTTTAAAATTCCATATGTCCCTTTCAATTCCATAACAGTATAGTAAGTAGCAAATTTAATTTTAAATTCGATCCACAACTTTGTGCTTATATTAACCAAACCATAAAAGCAATCCTATCCAATACTTTTAATTATGCTTAACTTTTTTTAAAAAAGAAAGTTTTGCATTATTTGGAAAAATTCACATATGGGAAAAGGAAGAAAAGGAAAAAGAAATGGTTGAAATAGGATAGAGTTAGTCTAACTTTATTAATTTTAGATTTAAATGAAAGTTAACTTCATAAAAATCTATTTAACGGTGTAATGCAGTACTTCTATTTTTCAAAATATTATCCTTTCTTTAAATTTCTGGCCAAGTTATAAACAAATTTTGGCCAAATACTTCCTTATCAGTCCAATAAAAAAATAAATATAATTATATTATGCTAATACCATAAAATTTCTCAAGCTTAAACAATGAATCATTATGTGTTAAAAGGATGTTAAAACGACACTTCTGCTGTCGTTTCCATATCAACAGCATTTCATTTCATCGTAATGATCGGCCTTCAATGTTGACGTCATGGGATAACTATTTTTTTTCAATGATCGGTCATATTATTTCATCTTCACCGCGACTAATCCTTTCTGCTTGTCCTTATCACTGAGCAATGTCGTATTTTTTATTTATAATGCATAAAAAGAAAAAAAAACCCAATGAATTAATTTTGAAATGACCAGTTGATAAATCTTTGAGTGACCAATTATTGAAAAGATCAATCGATAAACCTTTTGACTAATCAGTTTTTTTTTTTTTTCAACAAAATAATTTGATATATGCTCATCAGTTCATTTTGCTGATATTATTTGTCTGGAAGATATCGGTTATCATTTAGTGGATAAATGAATGATAATAATGATTAAGTGATTTATTTTATTCTTAAACCTGCACTCATCGAATAGGTAAAATTTTTTTTTTTCAATTCACCACAAATAAGTGGAAAAAAACCTTTTACAAAATGAAAATGACAAAAAAAAAGTCAATATTTTCTTCTTTGCAATTGATCAGTGACCAAAAGTTATGCATTTTTGTTTTTTTTTTAAATGGAATTAACAGAGATTAATCATTTCCAGTTAATTAATTTAATAAATAAATTACCAAATTTATTTGTGACTAATTTTTTTCACTAATTTAATATTTTGGCAAAAAAATGAAGCCCCGAAAGTATAAAGTATTAATCTTGCATAAATTACTGATAATCCAAATAGATAACGATTATATATCCATTTACTTTTCCTATCCCATCTTGTTTTAATGTTGAAGTGCTGAAGTTCAATGAGGAATTTATTCGCAATTGAGTGAGCACCTTTCCTATCATTGAAGTACCACTCTCAATTTCAAGTGAAACCTAATTTTCATCACAGATCCTTTAATTTCCATTCCGGAAATTTATTTAAATCTGCTAACTTTCTCTCTCTCTCCCTCTCTCTTTCTTTCATCCATATTTGTCTTATTTTTGTGTTTTAATTCATTGAAATCTCTGAGGGATAATCCACTTAGTCGTACTCAAAAGTACGACGATATCTTTTCTTTTCAAATTTTACATGCCCAAACTTTTTTTTATTCGTTTTTCAAATTCGGTCTTTTCTCAAAAAAAAAAACTATCATCCTTATTACCTCATTAATATTAGCGATCGCTAACAGCTTCCACAAACAAGCATTTCTTCATTCCGATTCAGTTATCTTCCTCTCTTCTTCATTTCCGGTTAATTTCAAATGGCTACTGATGTACTACAATTGGTTAGCCTTATGCTTGCCAATGTTACTGATCTCTACAGTATACGACATTCTTGTATGTTTCTTCCCAGATTCCTTTTTTCTTTCTTTTTTTTTACATTTCTTTACATAATTATAAAAAAACAGCCAAGTAAATAAATAACCAAATGAACATAACCGTAATATAATATTCACATAAAGTAAAAATAGCCATGTAAATAAATAATCAAATGAATATAGCCATATCATCATATTTACATATTGTAAAAATAGCCAAGTAAATAAACAACCAAGAAGAATAGTTAATTGAAAATAACAATAACATAATATTTATATAATGCAAAAAATAGCCCAACTAATTTTCTTATTACTTAAAATCATCCTAAAAAAAAAAAAAAAAGACAATCAATGAAGATTATTATTCAGTATAATTTTCAATTAAATATTAATTGGTGAATTTAATTAATAAATGCAATAATTTATTGAAATATCAGTTAAGTAATTGAACCAAAAAAAGAAAAATTCTAATATTTAAAAAGTAATCATAGATGAAAAGATAATTAAAGATTCAAGACTTTTAAACGAATAGATTAATATTATATCATTAAAGTATCATCAATTTTTACAATAAATCCATCATTTATTCTCTCCTAAACAAAAAAGAGGAAAAAATTATTTTGTCATACATTTTTCTTTTTTTTTTTTTTTTTTACAGTATTGTTTCCTTTCAACTCTATTATCAATATGTAAACTAACTGATTAACGAAATGAATTCCCAGCAAGGTAAAAGCATATCTACCGTAGCTATTGTTACCAAGGAATAAGCATCACTTATAGTTTCATTTTCATTTCCTTAGAAAAATCTGTTAAATATTTTTTTTTTTTCATTCTGGAACACTATCACTGCAGCATTCGCAAAAAAAAATTGAAGCATAGAATATTGAATTACAAATGAATTAATTAGCCTACCAGTGATTTCATTTCATCTCAATAATCAGCCTATCAGTGATATCATTTCATCTCAATAATCAGCCTATCAGTGATTTCATTTATCTCAATAATCAATCCGTCAGTGATTTCATTTCATTTCATAATTTACATAATTTTATTGTAAAATGAATCATTATCAGATATTCATCTTTATTATTTCTTGATAATTTCCTTTTTTGAGAGATTTCACGTTAAAAAGAAGAAAAAAATTTTGTGAAGTAAATTTTGAATTTTAACAGAAACACCACTGCCAAAAAGTATTTTTTTTCTTATAAATTTCAATTTGCATTTCATAGTTTGAAATGAATTTCTTAAAAATGATTTTCTTTTTTTTCTAACTTTGTTGAATGATCAAATAAAATAAT